GAGGCGGGCCGCGGCGGAGGGGCAGCCCTTCTGCACCCGTGACAGCGCCAAGGGCCGCTCGGTAGCCAGGTGGCTTCAGCCCGGCTCTGGGAAGGTGGAGGGAGCGCCAGTGTGTGTCCACGTGCGTATATATATCTATTTATTTGTTTCTGTGTGGCTGTGTGTGCGTTTACACAGAACCCCCAGTCGGAGGAAAAAGCAAAAATGGGCAGGAAATTGCGCTGTGTTCTGCGGTGACTTCTGCAAACGCTCATGTCCCCGCTGGGAAGAGCCGCACTTGAGTGCTAAAGGAAAAAAAAAAAAATGTGCTCTTGGAGTGGTGGCACAGAACGGGAACGCTGTGGAAAGAGGGAAAGTTTTTGAAAAGAGATGGAGGAAAAAGCAGAAGAAAACTCACATGGTTCGAAGAAACACTAAGGTTAAAGAAACACTAAAGGAAGGAAGGGGATGGCAAGGGGGCTGCTGCTCTCTCCTGCGCAGCAAACTAAAGGACCGAGTTCAACAGCGCTTTCACCGGGCTCTGCTGCTTCTGAAATCCAAGCTCTGGACGGTCGGACAGCTCAGGCCATGTGTTGAAAGGATCTTAGATGTCTTGTACCACCATTAAAACTCTGGCCTCTTCCCTTCACACCTTCAACCCTTGAGCTGTCTGATTCACCAAATCTTTTCTTTTTGAAATATGCAGAGGTTTGTCCTTCACTACCGGTACCAACAGAGCCCCCATCACCCTGGCAGGCACTGAGGGACCCTCACAACAGCACCCCTGTGCAGTAGGGAAGGTTTAGCCCCATATCAAAAAGAAAGGGGGGGGGGGGGAAACAAAACAGGAGAGATTAAACAATTTGCCTCAAAATCAAACAAATTCATGAAACAGAGAGCGCTGCAGATCATATGACCCCAAATCCAAGGCAGTGCCAGCATCACATGATGGTCAGAGGATCCCTGCCCTCCTGCTGGCCTTCTCCTCCCTCCAGTTTGCAGAGCCTGCCTGATCTGAAAGGGGCACTGCTCATGGTTTGCAGTGGCATTTAAAGACCGCTCCTACTCTGAGGAAAGCTTTTGCTTACTGTAACTGTAGCGGTACAAATATTACATGAGGTTTTTGAAAGAAAAATCTAAAAGCACAAATGCAACACAGTGCTTCCTCATTAGAGGAAAGATACTTCCCTAAAATGAATGTCAAGTGACGAGGAAAAATCCCCATTTTAAAGAAGTGAGATCTGAGAAAGCGTGGAAGAACCAACAGTAGGGAAGCTACCCTTATGAACCATCTCCAACTGTGTTAGGACAACGGCCGCAAAGCAGTGAAACAATTTAAAATATCTTGACTATGCTTTGGACAGAACAAAGTCTTTCATAATAACAAGAGATTTAAAATCTTGCAAAATTAATTTTGGAGCACTCTAGCCTTGCCTAGGTCAGGGATGTGTCCCAGTCACAGGGGCAGACCTCCCCTAACAGCATTTTCAATACCAACTGTGGCTTTGTCGTGCTATGCTGCAGGCTGTATTTAGACAGCCACAATTCTGGGCAAAACTGAGGGAAATCTCCACGGACAACAAGGGCTAGCAGCCTTGCCCGAGTGAGACCTGGTTCATGACTGCTTCCTCCTGAGTCACATGGTAGCCACAGGACTGAAGGACAGAAGTAGGAAAGGATATCTGGAAGTCTTCTCTCTTTTGCAAGGCCTCGGAGCCCTACTCGGGGGACTCGGGGTGCACCCTTCACAGGCCACAGACTGGAAGTGAGGTTCACATTAACCCAGTGCCCCAGGATCACACAGCAAATCCACTGTTCAAATTGATGGCAAAACAAAAATCTGTTTACATTTAGCTGTTTGGTTTTGCAAAACCTTTCTCTTACAGAATGGAAGTGTCTATTGCAGCAACGGCAACTGAACAAAGCGGGACTCAGCATCGGACACCCAAGGCAAGCAAGAGTTCTCAAACAGCATCAATTCATTCCTAACTTTTACATCAAATTACAGATGTTGCAGAGCCAGTACACTCGTTAGCTGGGCACAGACCACAAGAAAGTTACGTGCTGCCAATGTTCTGGGGAGCGTTCGTTTGGTGTCACATGTAAGGTCCTCCTTAAAATAAGCACAAGAAAACTACTGGTTATAAATGACTTCTCATGCGAACTCCTTGCATAATCAATCACTCATGCTGCCGTCCTGTAGGATTACAGGACTGTGGTTCAAAACCCAAAGTGTGAGAAAATCCCAGAAAATGCCCCTTAAATTCTTCTGCAATCCGGTTCCCATGGAAAACGAGGGAAGCCTTGTTTCCACCTGCTTAAAATGGCAACTGGATTGAATGTCAAATCTATCAGTCACCACTGCTACAAATCTTGCAAAATGAATTTCCTAGGATCTAAACAGTACTTGGGTCTTTATAAAGATGTTTTACTGCAATGATCGAAGCATCAAAACACTACCAGGGAGCAAAAATTCTGTCGAGGTAGGCACCAATCTGCGCAAGGGGCCAAACCACAGCAGCATGAGGCAAGCATCCCTGGGGCCCAGAAGGAAACGACCCAGACGGGATGGTTTTGCCTCACACAGGCATCATTCTAGAGCATGTAATGTGTTCATCAACCCGCCCAACCACAACCTGCTGCACATCAAAACCATCTGAACCTACAGATCCAAGATGCTTTTTGTTTGCAGATCTCTTTCGTGTTTGGTTATTTGAATAGACAGGCATGGAAGTTCTCAGTTCCACCCGTTCCCTTTGGAAAAGGCCTGAAATGAAAGACGACTGCTTTTCTGCCCTCTTTTACTGCGCCTTTGAGATACACAAAGATCCGAGATGCTTTTTGTTTGCAGATCTCTTTCGTGTTTGGTTATTTGAATAGACAGGCATGGAAGTTCTCCCCCATCCTGCTAGATTTTCTGACTCACTCCAGAATGAACTGGAACGCGATGGCAAAACCCGACGTGTACAAGCAAGCGCTTTCAAAGGGGGGTTATCGTTTTGTAGCAGGGCAAGTCACAGCGGTGACCCGCAGCAAGCGTTAGCCAGCACCTTTGGCGTCCTGGGGAGGACTGCTGCTATTTTACTACCACGCTGCTACACGTTGTGGCAGTAAAGGCCGTCTCCTTCATCATACCTCAGCAAGACCTTTACTGATGCATCAAGAGCGAACGTCACTTCAGCCAAACGCTGCTTTTCCTGGCTCTGACCGCAGTCGGTGCCCCCTCCGCGCCGCGGGCTGAGGGGAGGGACGGGCTCTGCCCGCAAGGGCCCCTTTCCCC